GTTCCATGCCGCGTTGACGCCGTTCCTCAAGGAGGCTGGGTACCCGGCAAACTATCTCGTCGACCAGGGCCGCAGCGGCAAGCAGCCGACCGGACGCCAGATTTGGGGTGACTGGTGCAACATCAAGGAGACTGGCTTCGGCACGAGACCGAACGTCAAGACTGGCATCGATACACTGGACGCCTTTGTCTGGGTCAAGCCCGGCGGTGAAGCTGATGGTACGAGCGATTCGACTGCGGCTCGCTATGATGAGAAGTGCAGCTCTGCATCCTCTGTGATTCCGGCCCCGGAAGCCGGAACTTGGTTCCAAGAGTACTTTGTGCAGTTGTTGGAGAATGCCAACCCCGCGTTCTAGATGACTACGGAGGAACCCTGTTGCAGGGTGTAGAAGTCACTCTATCTTCCTTTCTTCGTACACCAATGGGGTTCAGGAGTTTAGCGAAATAAAAAGTGCAAGGCTTTTCGCAAAATGCAAAACTTTTCCACTGCATTATCTTCATCAGGTTGCGAACATTGAATCTCCATCACATACTTTGATCTGGAGTTATGCAGATGCCTGAAGGAAGCTTCGCTCAGCGTTGTGGGGACTAATGTGCTGAAATTGAAACTTAAAGATGGTGACTCCAACGCGGGGATGAGCATATGTTCTGTCTCTTCAACTCGTGCCAAAGCCTTTTGAAGTTTAACAACCTCAAGCTAGCAACTCGTCTAAATAGGAAACCTGCCAGATCCGGACCACAAAAGTCAGCGGCACCAGCAGACCAAATAGAGACCGAGATGCAGCGGCTAACCGCAACATCTGTCGAGTTCAAACAACAAAAAGGAGCCCGATGGCGCGCTTCGGCCCCGCGTGCCCCAGCGGAGCGCCTGCAATCTCGCCCCTTTTGGAATTTGCACCGCCCAGGCCCGAGCTTCAACTGGGAGTTCCACCAATCGCATTGAAAGGCACGTTGGCCGAGTATGGGGAATTCAATGTACTGCAAACGCAGAGTGACGAAGTCTTTTTGATCAAGAGCCCCTTGGTGCCGAACTCTCTTGCTCTTGGTCAACGGGTGGAAGGGGGAGCCAAGCCGCTGGTATAATATGTAAAGCACCACGCGTCCCACGCGAGCCGGCCGTCTGAACTGTTTACCTGTACTATTCACAGTCGTCCCGTCTCTCGTTGGTGTTCCCTGCACGGTTTCTCAACCTCTCATTCGCTTCTCATTTTCCCCATTCACTATCCTTCTCATTGTTGATATTTTGCTGGTACATAACGTTACAATCCCTGGCCCAAAATGAAGTCCTTCACCCAAGCCCTTTCCCTGGCAGCCGGCCTGTCCCTGTCCTTTGCCAGTCCCACCCCGGCCGTCTTCCCGAGACAGACCAACAGTTCCAAGAACCTGATTGTCTTGTAAGTCACCCGCATGCTACCCGTTCCGTACATCCATAACTGCGGAATGATAAGAGAGGAAGAGAGCTCCATCTAACTCGGATGCCCTCCCTGTAGCGGCGACTCTTACTCCACTGTCGGCTTCTGGCCCGGCGGCACCCTCCCGGCTGCCGGAAACCCGCTCGGCAACCCCTCCCTGCCCGGCCAGACCACCTCTAGCGGTCTGAACTGGGTCGGCCATCTCACAAGCACTCTCAACACATCCACCATCTTGACCTACGACTTTGCCGTGACCGGCGCCACCACCGATAAGGATATCGTCGACACTTATGCCCAGTACTGCGTCGACGACCAGGTCGACCAGTACAAGCAGTACGTGTCAAGCGTCGTCAACAAGAACAACGCCCTCGTCGCTGTCTGGATCGGCATCAACGATGTCGGTGAGCCGTTCTGGGATAAGGTGTCTGCACCCGTCACCAAGATTATGGACCGCTACTTTGAGCTCCTTCAGACTCTTGCCGATGACGGTCTGAAGAACTTTGTCCTGCTCTCCGTGCCTCGTACGTTACATCCCGAAACCAACCTCCTCTTCAACTTGTTTGGTCCTAACACACCTCTGCCAGCCTTCTCTGACCAGATTCCTGCCATGATCGGCCAGTCCGAGACCGACCTGGCCCGCCTGCGCTCCGACATCACCTCGTACAACGCCGCCCTCGAGACCCGCCTCGCCACCTTCAAGTCCGCCAACAGCGGCGTCAAGGGTCTCGTCTTTGACACCAAGCCCTCGTTCGACACCGTTGTCGAGAACTTTGCGCAATACGGCGCCAAGGATGCTACCTGCTACGGCTCCAGTGATTGCATCTGGGCCGACAACTATCACGCCGGCCTGGCTATCCATAAGCTTCTCGCCCAGAACTTGGTCAAGGGTGTGGCCGCGAACTTTGTCTTCTGAGTAAGGTGGCCCCTCAAATGTCGGGAAGATGGTGGACAGTACATACAATCTTGAATATAACTGAGCACTCACAGCTCTCATCCACACTTATCTTGCTTTGATCTGCTGCATCTCATTGAACGTAAACCTAACTTACTGCCAGGACATTTCCAGCCCGAAGAAAGCATGCCCCCATATCTTGGTGTTCATTGACCAAGAAGAGAAAAACTGTTCGACCAGAGATTAAGCCATAACAATCGGGCCAAGTAAGAATAATGCGACTACTAAAGAAAACACAACAGCAAAAGACCAGACGATAACCCAGATTAATGGACAAGCATACGTCAGGTCTGGGTTCAATGAATATGTAGTAGTACCAATGCTAAAAGCCGACCAAGGTCACCGCCAGCGTCTCTAAGGTGTCTGGGCTAATTTGACACCTTCAAAATCCACCGCCCATTCCGATAGAGTAGCCCCTAGCCAATATCGAAGACATCCATAAACCCCTATCTAGTACATCGTTCTGACTCAACGCTAAGCCAACGGTGCGTCTTGCTATCCAGCCTCGCTACACTCCTCGTATTCGCAGGCCCCGTGAGGTAGAAACTAGCTCGAACTGTGTTTTCGGTGTGTCGCAAAAGTTTACTAGCATACGCACGCCTCGCGGGTTAAAGTACGGCATCCAGAGTGGGTAGAATTGGGGTCCCAGAGACTTCTCCATGACTTGAAGTCTCTTCGCGTTGCGTGGAATGGGGTTCAACATCCTGTAAAGCCGGTTGCGTCGCAGAGATTCCGGGGTCCTGCAGTCCTCGTCAAGAGTGATGTCTTTGAGCGCAAGAAGTTCCGCCATGGGATTGCGGTATCTGGAGCCGCGTCCACCAGTAAAAGCATACACAAAGGAGTGGGGTCGCATCCTTAGATGAATGTTCTGGAACTCAGGCTGCAATTCGGTCAATTGTGCAATGAAAGAGGCAACACCTAGTCTTGATCGCTGGTAGATGACCGCGTGGCATGAAGCAAAGGCATCGATATCTAGTAGCACTTCAGCGAGAGCGATTGCCCGGCCACGGTGGGAGACTTCAAAGTCTGGTCGGAAGACTTTCAACACAACGTGCCTGAAAAGCTTGTTGATCTGGGATACGTCTCGGATCATTCTGAAGCGTAGCAATGCGAGACGTCGTTGGCGGCGGTTGAGCTTGAGCTTAGGGCGTTTGTCCCGGGAATCATAAGTCGCATTCCAGGTCAGGGGCTGAGCAGAGGTCTCGGCATCATGTACCATCATCTCGGCAATCAAAAGGAAGATCTCGATTGGAAGACACTCTAGCGTGGTATTGCCTGGTGTGTTGGTAAGACGCAAGCCCTCTTGATGAAATAAACGGGCTGATCTTCGGGAAGCCATGGCTGAGCGATGTGTTATGTCCAGTGTTGGCAACATGCAGTGTTGTGAGTCTCTCAAACAGACCATCCTCAACTGCACAATAGTGATTTAAGTATTATAAAAACTTCTTGAACAACATGGAGAATTTCGATCAACCATGATTGTGGTAGAGGATTCTGGGAGGTGTGGAGTTGCAATGAAGACTAATAAACACTCCGCATCTTTCAGAGGTCTTACTCGATGAATGGCGATATGTCAAAGACTACATACTACCCAACACACCGTGTGCAGCCTCTCTTCTTCACCGCTTTGACCGTCCAAGCCAAATACTTGAACGGAGGTGTTCCATTTGATTCGAAAATCAGTCGCCAACCGCCTTGATCCTATGTAAGGTAGTCAGAGAAATGGTGTGATGGCGGCTGTTCTCTATGTTTCTGGGTCCTTCATGCTCATATTCGACATATGCATGCCTGGCGAATGCTGTCTTTCGAGGTGGGAGCGAACGAATAAGGCTCTCGGAGGGTCGAGGGGGTATTCAGTTGGGCAGCTGGTCCAGGGCCGACCAGTCTCACTTATGGCGGCCGGCGCCTTGCCGGCGTTTGGTCCGGAAGACTACAGCTGGTCCGGTAATTACAGGCCAAAAATACCTAGTTTCAGTAGAAATTCCATCCTCTAGGTGATTTGCGAAATCATCCCCGTCGTTTTCTTATGGTCACTCTAACAGCCTAGCTGTCGGATTGGAAGTCCAATTCGACCTCGACGTACGGCAGACCGCGCAGGGGCCAATTACGGGCCCTACTTCCGATTATCGCAGCCTGCCCAACCTACGGTTGGAACCTCCCTTTTACACCTACGCAGCAGATTATATAGTCAATTGACCTACTTCGTCAACCCACGGTTCGAACCAATCAACCAATATCCCTGTGATAGGGATACCAACACTAGCATCGCCTCTGCAGGCCTATGCAAACTACCGTATTGGAGGCGGACGTGGCAAAGTCGAGCTTGGCTTGGCAGGAATTACAATGCCAAGTGCGGAATGCGAGATGCGAAATGCGAAATGCGAGATTGAAACTGTAAGGTATGTTGTGAGAGGCACGCACCCAAATCAAGCACCATACAAATTAACATCGACATAAACTGGAACGTATAATATATCGATGTAGTACAAATACTCCCTCTCCAAGGCAAACAGGTTTCTCATGAGCCACGTTCGATACACTTCCTCGAAGCATTCGCTCGCAGCTTTGTTTTCTCGAAAAGCAAAATCAAAGCTTTCTTCGCTTTCAATTTTTTCCACCCTTTCAGGCGACATCGTCATGGCTCGAACAACCATGTCCCCAGGCAGTCATTGGCCTAGAACCAGCACGCTGCGAGGATGTCGAACCAATCGTCTTCTTCGAATGTTCCTCCTGTTCGGCCAGACTTTGATTGGACTTTCAGTTCTATCTACTCCGTTGCAGGCCTTTGCTTTTGGCAGCCTTGGCACCAATTCAGCGGTTCGCAGTAGCAGTTTACGACTCCTCGAACCGCGGGCGCTGTCAATCCACGAGATGAACATGACTAGAAGCACCGCCTCCCGTGAGGGCCAGCCGGTCGTCGCCATCAACCCCACAAACCCCGACAATAGTGTCTTCGTGTCGACACGCTTCTATCCTCTACCTGAACTTGAGCCCGTTGGGGGTTGCTTTCTGACCTATACGCTCGACCGCGGAACCACCTGGAATAACGTCACAGTGGATTTCCCCTTAGGTGCCACCCCGAAGTGCGGCGAGCCACAGGTCTTTGTCGACGCGAATGGGACGTTTTATCTCCTCAACAACCAGGTCTTCTCCGACTTGGAAGATAATATTGCCGCTCATCTCCAGTTGTCCAAGTCCATTGACGGAGGCAAAACGTGGAGTGTTCCATCTGTGACAGCGCTTCATATGCAAGGTGCGACAAAGCTGCGGGTCGACGTGGCTACGGGCAAGGTGTACGCAAATGGTGCATCATCTTAGGAATACCCAGCAGCTGTGTCTGCCAGCTCAGACGGTGGCAAGACCTGGGCTGCTTTCAATCAAATCCCCGGTCCCATGGACGTTTGCCTGGACTATCAGATTCCAGACCCGCCTCCAATCTGCGGATTCCCCGGCAGATCTATTGTAGTTCACGACAGCACTCTGGCTTCGGCTGCGGAGGGCTCGAAAGGACACCCAGAGATGTACGAGCGCCATGACAAGGGCGTAACATAGGAGACATTTCCCTTGACTGATAGCCGAGGCAACTTCGTGGCAAACGGCACCGGCCCGATGCTGGCGAAGTCTGGCATTGGTCTTCCTAGTGATCCGACGCCGTGGGTGTCCGCAGACCCTACCTCAACGGGTCGTTTCGCGCTTATGGTTCCACGCGACTTCACGCTGGAGTTTTATATCATAGATACCGCAGGTGAAAGATTCACAGGTCCGGCCGTTATTCAGACTCCTAATGCGCAGCGCCCTGCCTTCGACTTTGGTCCGAATGGCCTCCTTGGTGTCATGTGGCGCACTAATTCGTCATCTATCCTCGATGTCTCCTCGACGGTATCTTTTGACAGTGGACGCAACTTTGCTGCACCGATCAAGGTGACGGCACAGCCGCAGCCTGTTGGTCAAAATGGTCAGCCAGGCGACCGAGCTTCCTTTGTCTCGCTCACTCATACCTTTGCTTATGTTGTCTGATCTGACGGCCGCGATGGCTTACTGGACGCTGTTCTTGCTGAGGTGGCCTTGACTCTGTTTTTAACCCATGTCTTAGGCTATGGAGGTATATCAAAGTGTCAGAAGTCTCAGTATGGCTGCTTAAGAGCGACGCATATGTGAAGAGAATTACGTGCGGTAAATGAGCAATAGCTGTCTTTTCGCACTGGCCAGTATTGCTACCAAAGACTGGATGATTACCTCAAACCTCATCGAAAGTCCCGGCTTGGCATTTACTGTAAGAGAAGTGGACCTCATGTCTTGATATTCTATGGCACTCTACCACATACGCTATTGCATTTAGGCACGGGATCCCAAATGCAATCAACGTTTGGAGAATCATCCACCTAGGATGCCAGAGTAACAATCTCGAACTCTTCCCAGGTACCAACTCCCTTGCTACGTGCTCAGAATTTATATAGGTGATGTCTGATTCGTCTACGGGGTAGCGAAATTTCCATGTTTATCAGATCAGTGGATGATGGTAACATGGCCGGATGGAATGATATGAAGCCCATCCAACTTAGTCATCTTGACTGACTGGTTTTCCCTTGGCTTAGGTGTGGCCTACAATGATTGCTTTTAGTACTAATTCCTCTTATTGCAACATCAGATGACGAGGTAGAAGTTCTCGTGAATAACGCCTAAAGAGTTCACCGTGTGACACCGAACACGCGACATAACAAGCGAAAGCACCGTCAACACCCTTTTATTCTAGAATGTACAAAGAACGAAACTTATTTTACAAGACCTAGCATCAATTCCTCATGCCGTGGCTTAACACTCAGTGTCCCAGCTTGTATCCATCCCAATTAAGAATGGTAAAGACACCCTCAGGACCATACTTTGCTCGGATCTGTCTAAGTTTCTCGACATTCTTGAAGGGAATTCCAAGCCGGGGATTCTGAGTCTCGGATGCATCACCCATATAGATGAAGTCACTGGCCAAACCGCTCTGGTGGTTCACAGAGCGATGGTAGTCCCCGAACTTAGCTGCCCATCCTGAGACTGAATGAGTTCAAAATGGTTAGAGAAGATGAATCGACTGTTAGGGGCGACGTGAGAGATCATTCCAGAAACGTACCTAGGATATCATCTTCGGGATGAGCCCAGCCAGTAGAGGTTTGCTCAAATATGACCGTGTAAATGTGGTGCGTGGAAAAGCATGTGAAGCAAAAGGGGTAACGTACCGACAAAGAACTCCTTATCATCCAAGCCCCAAATATTTCTGATTCCATTATGCTTAGCCACAGATTGCGCGCTCTTAGGCATAATGTTCATGACAAACGTAGGGTAGAGCCCCTCGACGTCCGACAACTTGGAGACGGACTCTTTCCAAGCCAAGTAGATGTCGTACAGGCGCTTAGCATCTGGACGCATGGTTCCGTGAAAATACTGTGCTCTTGAAATGTTAATAGCCATGAGCCCGATGCTGACTTGGTCGTCGTGTTGTAAGAGATGGTGATAACTGCCCCAGCGCCGATGGAAGGATCATCGTTCGATGCCAAGTGACATGACGCCTCGATGAATTGCTCCATCTGGTCTTCTGAGAAACTCTGAATCGTGGAGCTGATCTGTGGGATCTTGTAAGCTTGCACAAGAAACCTAGTGACGATGCCAAAGTTCAAGGCGCCCGCCGCCTTTGAGCGCCCAGAATAGGTCAGGATTCGACTACTTGGAGGCAACGACCTGTGTTCCGTTACCCAAAACAACATCATAAGAAATGACATTATCCGTCGCATATCCGTATTTGTTCTTAAGGTAGTGCCACCCCCCAATGAGCGTGAGACAGAGACTTGTTTCTAGTCTGAAGAACACCCATGGAGCTCAGCATGAGGGAAGTTTGTTGATATCCTTCACGGGAGCTCCTCTGTGAATTGTTTCGAGAAAAAAAAGCCAACCTCCTTCACTCGCGTGTTGTTTTTCTTTGTGTACTGTGTGGTTGTGTCAGGAAACCGCCCGAAGATCTCGTGTGGCTATTCTACACCCTTCGAACAGATTGAGCACTCGGATAACCTTCCCGCCCAGTCGAATTTTTTTCCTAGAAACAGGATGACTGTATACAGGAGACGATGACGATTTTGTTTAGTTCTTCCATGTACCGTACGACAGTGAGCTCGGTTTCATGATCGCCATCGCGGGCACATATTTTGCGATAAAAGTCCTTTCGGCGACTTAAGTTGTGGGTCATGGAGATGCCAGAGCCATTCGCTCGATGCTGCTTCACAGATGCAGCGCTTTGAGTTGTACGGCTTATACCCAGACCTTGACTTGACAATTGACGATGTTCTTGCCAACGCAACGTTCAGAGAGGCCAACGCATGTACGCAGAAAGGGATCAAAAACAATTTTGTCAACCTGCTTTTTAAGATCCATCTATCCCGGTAGCACGTTATCCGCCTTCGAGGACCTTGTCGCGATAGGTCTCAGGGGTCGGTGAATGTAGTGTGTGGTCGAGAAGAGATGAATGCGGCATTCATCCTTATTCATCACGTGAACTCTGGAGAATTGCACTGAAGATATGACGTACTGAGGTAGAGTGGTATAATTGATAAGGATTGATAGAGGGCCAGCCAAGGCGGGGGTACTGAGATGGAACGTCTCAAGACCCATTCCGATCCACCACGATCTATATTTTAGCAAAAAGATCTCGAAAAACATACAACACCCGGTATTCGCTGGTCGTCACCGACCCAACTACTGATCGGGCCCTCATCGGCTTGTCTATGGGAGAGCGGACGGGATCCCGAATTCTCCAATGGGTATGGTCGTATGTGAAGGTATCGTGAGCTTTTGCAACTGAAGTCGCATTGCAGGTGGGGTGTGGACTTAGAGGCTTCTCCTTGTTAACGATATCGACTCTCGTCTTGCGAACAAGTTGATAGGGTTTGTATATGACTTCTGTGTCGCATATTTCATCTCTTCAGACTGGTGCTAGGTGCGAGTACTACACATCACTGGACTATTAAAGTAAGGTATTTGGACGGGAGACTACCGTAAAGTCCTCTTGGCCGCATGGAGTGAATGTTATGTATCAGCATCCAAAACTGCTCCAAGAGTGTGTATGTAATTTGTCGAGGGTTCTGAATTGCAGTGTCTAGGGTGGAGAACTGAATGCTTTCGTAATTGCACTGTCCATCCATTCCTCTAGCTGATTTATTTATTGATACAGAATTACAAGCCACTACGCACTTAACCCTCGTATTATTTCGAAAATTTCGACTTTCTCCCTTTATGATCTTTCATCGTAGGTCTTTCGCAATGAAACCAGATTCTCAACCTTCATCCAATCCATTTCCTCTAGTTCAGTCTGTATTTGTTCCACCTCATCAGGTCTACGTGCGTAGACAAGATGACTAAGGCTTGTGTTAGCTCTCTCTAATTCAAACCAGATATGGGGGTCATTCTCGCAATGAGGACTTACAGGTGGAAGAAGGCCTGCAGACTGGGGTCTCTAAGAGCTTGACGCATCTCAGCTACAAAGACGACGATCCTGGGATACGCCCATCCCAGGACCTCCTTGAGCAAGAATAGAGCAAATCCCTCAAGTGACTGGTCATTATAGAGCAAGTTGCACTGCCCAACTTCCTTCAGCTTCGGATCCTTAGGCCAAGCACCAATGGGAATAGAGAATCTCTTTTCCACTATGTCAACGTAGCCAATTGCGTCAAGAGCTCTGGCAATGCTGTGATTCTGGGTTTGGGCCAGCGTCTTGCCAAGCTTATCAGTCGCCTCAAACATGACTTTGGCCCATTGATGAAAAATGTGATCTTCGGGAATACAATCACCAAAAAACTGAGATCGTGTTGTGATATCGAATTCCTTGACCTCAATAAAGCCTCCAGGAACCAGATGGTCGAAAGCTTGCTTATACAGCGCCGGCCAGTTCTCGATGCTTGCTTCGAGATGGCGAATGTGGATGAGGTCAAAGTCCTTGGACCACGTCCATGGCTGCTCAACGTCATCAAAGTAGAACTTGCAGTTCGGAGGAACCCACGGGGGCTGGATGGGTGAAATATCTACACCAATGACCTCAGCAGATGGGAATTCGTCGGCAAAATCGCTAGGTGCGGCGGGTTATTAGCAAGGTCTGCTGCATGATTTGTTCAACCCCGACTGGGATACTCACATGGCCCAGATGCCCGTGCCAGTTCCGACATCAAGAACTTTCTATTCATCTTCTTAAAACCATACCACTGGTCGTGCGCATCAGGTTGATCAACTCACTTGTGGGCTACGACTGAGGGGTGCTAGGAACAGTCGGTCATCGAAAAACAAAGTCTCCCAATAATGACTCCACAGCAAAGACACTGAAATTAGCCGCGGTTGTCTCATGGGCGTCCAACTGTGTAATCGATTGTACTTACGCAATGTCCAATGCTTCATTTTGCGTCTCATCATTGGGGCCCCAGTAGTCTGTCTTTTGGGAAAAGGTTCGACCGTGAATGCGACGATACTCCGTGATGCTCTCGCTCAGAGACTTTGTGGAAGATGCCTGGGTACTGTAGATATCAGATTTACTACAGTCAGTTGCCTGTATAAGATGGGGGCTTATGTCTGCACTTCTTGAAGTTCAGTTGTGGAATCTACCCCTCTTTGTTTGCTTGGGAGTCTTGGTCCTCATCGACTGCAATGTCTTTGACCTGTATCATTGCGTCAGTACGGCTATAGCTATCAATTTGATCCTACGCATGCTCGGTGTAGATACTCAATCCAGCTTTGATGTCTTTGCATGGAGTAAAACGAACTACTTACGTTTTTGTTCATGTCTGTGGTTGACGCGATCTCATTCGCAGGAGTGGCACCCATCATGGCAGAGAGATCTGTCGCCTGCATTCTCTCCTCTTTAGCTGATGCGTACATGCTTGAGCTGAGGGGTTCGACGAAATGTCGAGTAAACGATCCGAAGAGCAACGAGAGAAAGGGGATGCGGGTAAAGCGTGATCAATCCTAGATGTATTGCCCCACTTGGGTGAGATGTTCCACCTTGCTTTGTTACCGATGTTTGCTTCAAAGCTATCCACTCAATACTCTCGGCGGCTCCGTCTGCCTACCTGAACTAATAGGATAAATCCTTCAAGCACCCGAAATGCATGATTTAAGCAGTTTTTGGAAGGTAATGGCCAGGTTCCATGTCCATCGAAGAACCAACAGAGCAACAGCCCCAGGACTTGTCCAATCAACGAGAGTGGAAAGTGTGACATGGGACCATAGACAGGGGGCGGGATCTGGTGTTTGCAACCAACAGACACTACGCAGAATTCTTGTACCATCAGTCGCATTGGCGTTATGAACCAATATGGCGGCATCTATTCATACTTCAAATTATGCTGTTAACAAACCTGGCCAGTACGACGCAAACAGTCTTCGTAGCACTGAAGTACATACCTGTTAACGTAGACTATGTATGGATCACAGAGGCGCTGGGTACATAGCTTGACACTGGTTAGCATGCGACCACAAGATGAGGTTGGAGAGTGAGGTCACACTATAGATCTACCTAAGGAGACACTGTAATTGATGTCGAAGAACGTAGTAGGTAGATGACTTTAGCAAGCGCAGAAACACACGCTACATGGTGGCCATGCCTGCTAGCAATGTCTTCGAATTTGGCTTCATGCCTTTGCACCTTCATGTCGAGCTAAAACTTGTTGAGAAATGTATCTCCTCCCGTAGCAGATCTCTCAAATTTATGCCAAAACGTACACATCTCACAAGAGCTGTTCCTATTGCTAGTGTTCGTGAAATTAGTAGAATATGAAAGATTGTACTACGTAGGTACTATCTCAAATTGTCTGATCTCTTGACATAGCAATCGTTCACGCATAGGCGAAACATGTACACCCATTGGATTCTTGGTACTGACGGAAGAGTCATCTTTGCCCATTCGCTTTGTTCCTTCAGCTTCCAATTCTCCAATCCGCTGTCAACTACTCCGAACAGCCCAGGGACTGGCGTCACATTCCAGTCTTCCACTTTTTGCAAGCCGAGTTCAGCTTGTTGATCATGCCAGCGTCCCAGCAAAAACCTCGCTTTCCAGGTAGTGAGAAGCTCTTGCTGCATTGACCCCTGCGTCGGGTCCCCATCAAGCCTCTGGAAGAAGTCTTTGGTCTCGCCATATTCTTTGGAGCCAAAGATACTGTCGAAGTTCGCGTAATCCTCTATCTGTTTACGATTTCCCACAGGAACTAAGACTGCAGTTCCGGATTAGTCTTCGCAAACAAAATCAAATGAGCTTGTGCAATCTTACCGATGCGCTCCTCACCGTTGAACCCCCAGAGTCCAGATTGTGTTGCAGCATTGATCTTAGCGTGAATGGCAACTATCTTCTGACAAACTAAGAAAGTTTCGATGCTCCAAAGAGTGCGGAAATTCTCCTGGTCGCTCAAAGGTGGGAAGAGTGTATGTAGAATTTCTCCTGTGACGCATACCGTTTGGGCGTAGTCCGCGACGGGGGATAGATATTTGAAGGGCCCCATGGGAGGACGAGCTGACCAATACCGACCACAACCTGAATCCCAATCAAGGAATATGACATTTCTACCCGGGGAACGATCGAACCACAAGTCAACGAGTTCTCTGTTTGCGACAGTCTTTGCTTGCCATTTCTCATCTCGCGGGACTGGGAACCCCGCAACTTGTCTAGATTCACGACAGACGGCCGCGATGACTGGAGGGATAGAATTGAGCTTGTACGTCATTTGATGTGTGCACTCCTCAGTTCCGTCATTTTTCGACATCAATCCATTGTAAATAGACCCTCCCTTATAAGGTTTGTTTATCTCGACAATGCGGACGTGAGGTAGACATTCATTCCAAATTGCTCGGCGAAGCTCTAGAGGGAGCTCAGGGAAGAGATGGAACTCTTGAGGCTGAAGTGTTGCCATTCTTCACTCTGTCGGAATGTTGTTTTTTATTGTAGGAAACAAGAATCCACGGAATTCAGCTGAGGCTATCGGGTTTCCTGTCAAGAGGCGGTCGCATCTAAGGAATCTACTTGTAACATTGAGGAAACCCGACAACGTGGGGAGCCCTGGTTAACAGGTGGGCCCGCCATATGCCGACGCGTTGATGCATTCAAGATAATCCTAGGTCCACGGTGCCAACCCCGCCTAGCAGCAGAACAATGTTCTCTGCAAGGAGACTAAAAGGCCGCGGCAGAATATTACACAAGTCTTTACCTTACTCAAACACAATCAAATTGCGCAAGCTGCTCGACTAGCTGGGACTTGGCGGGACATGAGAGGTCCAATTGACCAATAGCAAATTACTCGCTATCGCTATCGCAATTTACACTCAAAGCCGATGATAAGACTCTATTCCGATTTCCGAAATGAGCTTGCGGGGCCCCGGGATCGGCCCTGGACGATGACAATAAAAGTTGTGGCTATTCGCTGTTGCGTCTGATGTTCAGTCACGCCCATTATTGAATATTTCAGCCCGCTTGATCCTCAGTCGCAATGGTGAACGTTTGGGCATCAGCGCTTCTCGGCGCTTCCATGTTGAGCGCCTACGCTCAAGCTCAACTTGGCGAAACAACACCACTTCTATCGTATGCCAATGTTACGTCTGTCCTTGACACCATCCTTGCTCGCGGATACATAAACGTCGGCACAAGTGGGGACTACAAGCCTTTCACGTACCTCGTCACGAACCAAACGACCCTGCCAAACACTACAGCAATCAACACAACCTACATCGGCGCCGACATCGATGCCGCACAGTCCCTGTCCAACGCCCTTGGCCTGCCTAAGCCTCCCCGCCTCGTCGCGACGAAATGGGCAAACATCACGAGCGACTTGTCCGCTGGTAAATTCGACATTGCCATGGGTGGCGTCAGCCTGACTCTTGCAAGAGCTAAAACTGCCTTCTTCTCCACGGCGATCCAGAGAGTCGGCAAGACAGCCTGCATCCGTTGCGCCGATGCAGCCAAGTACACCGACCTCGCATCGCTCGATCAGGCCGGCGTCAAGGTTGCCGTCAACCCTGGCGGAACCAATGAGGCGTTTGACAGGGCGAACCTCAAGTCTGCAACAATTGTCATGGTGGAGGATAACAATGCGGTGTACCAGGCTGTGCTAGACGGCACTGCTGATGCCATGATTTCTGACCTGATTGAAGTTGAGTTGCAGGTCAAGCTGCATGAGGGCGAGCTTTGTATTGCCAACTCTGACGCACCATTCAACTTCGAGGAGCTTGGATATGCGGTTTCGAGGGATATTGTATGGAAGCAGTTCGTCGATGCTTGGGTCCATGTGCAGCTTGGAAGCGGTTCTTGGAACGGTACACTCGAGAAATGGTTGAACTACAAGTGGCCCAGCGTTTAAATGCCCTGGGCTTCATGCTGGAAATGGCAGTTATTAGTACCTAATGCCATAAATGATAATAAAATCCTGTTGTATGAATTGGAGATTTTGTTAACGCCATATTCGTAACGATTGAGAATATGTCATCTTGAACTAAAGCTTCGACGAGGGTGTCTGACTTGTCAGTTGCAATTTTGCAAGCTTCACCGCATGTGCTGCCATTCCCCTACGTTCACGTTAGCAAAGCGACATCATAACACACTGTATCTTCGTGTCAACTCACCAAGATGCCTGATATCCCGCCCCAGATGCTCCGTAATTATGTACGACCAGCCCCTCATCTCTCTTCTCAACCTCGATTCTTGGTCCGCCTTTACGATTCGGTCTCAGCCCGACACCGTGCTTGATGATCTTCAAGTCTCCGGGCTTCCCCAGCTCTGGGGCCAACGCGCAACAACGCTGGAGGATAGTCTTTGTCAACTCGGGATCGACCTCCTTGTCCCAATTTCCGTCTTGACGACATCCGCCTAGAACAATGCCGCCTGCTAGAGGCCTCTGGAAGATGTAGGTGGTGTCGTTGTCTACTCTTCGAGGTGAACGGAAGTACATCCTCTTGAGGGGCTCAATCGGCTGCTCGACCAAGATGGTTTGCCCTCGAGTCGGATACATGGACTTGTCTTCCACTCCACCAAGGAAGTAGGACCCTAAGCCTGTACAGTTGAAGACCGTGGTGACATCTGAAGAGATGCGAGCCTCATTAATGTGACCAATCTTTTGACGGACCAGAATGACTTTGCTCTGTCTGCATTGCTCAAGAAGCCTATTATACCTAGTCAGGCTATCTGCGTATCACAAGATATGAGTGAAAGAATGTGTAACTTACCATTGCAAGTAGATTTGAGTGTTGATCACAAAGGTATTAGGTACATCAAGTCCAAACACGGCTTTGTCGGGCAATTCGTCCGTACGAAGTGGCACAGTGCCCCCAACCAAGTCATCGTACCACAGCTTGCCAGTTTCCACACTAAGAATGCCTGCATCCTCGATCTTTTGGTCGAAGATCATTCGCAGCGGCGAACTTTTAATTCCCGCTTCCGGTGCGCTCTTTGCAATTTTCCTAAATCGCTCAAATGCGACACGGTCGAAAGATTCGAGAAGACCATTATCGTTGGCCGAGGAGCACCAATTACCTCCGGCCCACGGCGAGCAGTAGTTGATGTTGTAGTCGCCGGGGAAGTACTCTGCTAGGATCGTGATCTTCACGGATGGAAATTCGGCTCTGATGGTCAGTGCGGTAGTGAGACCGATGACGCCGGCACCGAGGACAACGAAGTGTTGCGCGGGAGTCGTCATATCGTCGTGTCTCGGATGCTGTGAGGTTGACGGGTGCTTGGTAAGGGTGATGTGAGGTTGACACCGCCGGGCCTGTTCGAGATCCAGTTGGCAGTGGTGTGTTGGGGTAGCTCCGGTCCGGGCCGGCGGTGTTTACGGCTGATTGATGATAAATGTCCGAAGTCGGCCTGAGCCATGGCGCAACGGGGCTGGGCCGATTGTGGAATATGTCTTGGCCACCCCAGTAGTCAGCTTGGCTACAGTATCAGCGTCAAAGTGCAACAGTCCATCCTTGGGGAACTCCAACAATAAACCGAGGCAAGTGATATATTGCACATCCAGGAAAGTTCATTTCTCAGGCTCAACTTCCTAAGAACGGTTGCGTCGTACGCGTAGAGTAGATCACATGGTTAATGTTGGACATATCCTTGGAACATCAGTACAGGCTGCTCCATCAAGATGCAAGGGTTCGAACTTGTATCACTGAGCACTTGATTCTTGAATCAGTTTTCATTCTCCAAGACCCTAAGTACAATTTAATTGTTTGCAAACGCCGCGCGCAGAAGTTCCTGCCGTTAGGACTATGTCATCATCAATAAACAGTTGCGATCACATCTTTTTTCCAGCCTTGTCCTCTCCTAATGGATTACTCTGCTGCATCCCCTCGAGGCTCACTCCTTTCTTCTGTTGCGAAGCCACGGACGGCATTGTGTTCTGGTCTCCACTGTGTCTCTAAAGATCATTTAGCCAAAGGGCATTGCTGCCAGTCCGAACTGGAGGCCTACTCTCTCTTCCTCTACCTCTGCGTCGTGTATGAAGTCATGACCGGCTTCAACGGCGTCGTCCGACAGACCGTGTTCCTTTAGCCCGTGATCTTGTCTGTTCGACATCTCGCACTGGTTTATATTGAATGGATGATTTCTCTTGATCACACGTTGAGTTGAAATGCGATTCTTTCAATCAGAAGGCTTAGGCATTATCTGTTTCACAAACCGCGCGGGTTTCCCCTCGTTTTATAATCTTCAGCGGAGTCAAGATGGCCGAACGTCATGAAGTTGTCTAAGTGAGGGGTCTACGGTTCCTCCTGCGAAGCATGTACACCACCATCAGTCAGGGCACGGTGAGAAACCCCGCATTCATCACGATAATTCATCCACTCTTAGTCAAGCCCGCAAGGATGACAGACCATCAGAACTTCCATCTATAGACGTGCAGTCGCGGGGTCAAGCTTTCCATGATGACGGTCTATGCCTGGCTGGACTGGTCCACCAGCCAATCGTAAAGACACGCACCTAAGATTGGTTGAAGCTAAAGGCAGTCGCGGAGATGAGGAAGGGTGAGAAAGCAACTGGACGATCGGGTCTATCGGTAGTGATCTCGAGAGCGATTAATCCTACCTTAGGTATGGAGCTTGCCTATTTTACTTCCCATTGGGCGCGGTGTATGATATATCCTGGCTTACATCAGTCTTTACGCGGGTTGGGTGCATAAAAATCCGGCAGGATCTATGCGACAGACTTCAAGGTTATGACCACGATGAAGGCGCCGGTGCGAAAATAGTGAGGTTAACCAAATCGACAACTTTTCTTTGTTTGGTGACTCTGTTTGATTCAATCATGAGCCTGGTAGTTACTGCACCCATGTAAAAAGATGCACGATACTGCATAGCGCCAAAAGAGCTCATTCTCGAATGCTTCGCTTCGCACTTGCTTTGCTTGGAATTCTTGTGACACAAGTACGTCGTTGGCTGAATCTAAGGGTACCTCACCTAAATGTCATATATTATGTACCTTACTTTCGAGTCCATTGTCCTCGAGTCCCACAGCTCCGTTTAGTAAAACAATCTGAGCCAGGGACTGGAAATTTTCCTTTATGCTGTAGTCTCACAGGATTCGAACTTGCCTTTATTATATGGCTTGGTTTAACTGAATCGCTTATTCATGACTATCATATTACTTTAATTCATTGACACATTATACTGACGGTTATAATTAACTGCATCATTAGAACCATTACCCAGCTTTGGGAAGACAAGCCCATAGCGCCGCTGGTCGACACACTCTTGCTCGCGCGCGCGGCCTCATCCTTCGATCGATCAGGGTCATCGCCTATCGGCTGAGTGACCCAGTCCTTGGGAATCTGCGCAATAAAGTCGTACCAGTTGTCACCCATCGTACGGTAACCCTCATCCGTCGGATGAATGCAATCGTCTCTCAGAATGCCGGTCCCCAAAGCCGCAAAGTCCACAGCCAGGACGTGGTGGCTGGCGTTTCTGCGCTGCTCGACAATGCCCGGGATGAGTTTCTGGTACGCGACCGTCGCGGCTTCCTGTTCGGCGCTGCATGTGTCGACGATTTGGGCGACGAGGATGGTGGCGTCGGGGCACGCGGTGATCATCTGGTCGATGAGGGAGCCCAGTCGCTCGGCGGCGGCCGCCGGGTCGTTGCCTTCGGTGGAGACTGCCGGGTTTGGGTTCATGTCGTTGGTGCCGGCGTGGAGGAGAATTATGTTGGGTCTTTGTACCAGGGATGGGCCTACGTTGTCGGCGATGTACTTGATCGTTTTCCCAGACCAAGCAGCCTGCAACTTGTCAGAATTGGGAATGTGGAAATAGGACCTATTCTGTTGACGAACATAGTATCCATCGCTCATATTTCCACCGTAGACTGTACCGGCGAAAACAACTTCGTTGGCTGTGATGGTTGTCAGATATGAGGCCTTCCCAGTTCGCCTGGTTGTGGTGGAGTTCATGATTGAGCTTCTCATGTGCGGTGAGTTAACATACCAGAGAGGTCCTCATCAAGTTTGAGCCTGTAGCCATTTCCATCGCTGCTCAGATATCCCACAGTGATAGAATCACCCACAGGAAGTATCCTCAGCTTGACACCATCTTTGATAACCTGTCCCGCTGGTGTTGCCTTGTACTCAAGGGAGTCGGCAGCGAGCGTCAGCGGGGTAATTAGGGCGATGATGCTGGCGATTGAAAACCTCATCTTGAGGGCCGAGGGCTGGGTAAACGAGACGACACCATCGCGAAAGCCCTCTCAAGAGATTAGGCAGTAGTGTGCGGGTATCAGCCACTTCAAATAGTCCGACGTAGACCAAGGCAATTCTCAATCGTCAGCAACCAACCCGTAGACCGATGAGGGCGATGAACGCATCCCTCGGGCACAGCTAGCCGCGATCCACCACATCCAACCCAAATTTAAAGGGTCAATGCCAGGCACCATCTTCGCTATGCACTGTAAGCAACGGGCTGGGCTACTTGGTGCCGTTGCATTGAGGGCGAAGTGACCGAAGGGCCCCGTTTCTCGACTCCACAGGGAATGGGACCATGCCGTGTGGTCCGGCGGTTTTCTCCTCGGTCGAGGAAGGGCATTCTCCTCTTTGGCACCCTGCGCTGCACACCACCGGCCATGTTCGCGAGTCACGAGTGAAGTCTCAACGGAACCAACGTGATCAAAGAGCGTTGAAGCCGTTGGAGGGGTTTTCGAAATGGCCCGTCAATCTCACCCTGCAGGGCCTTTGCTACGGTATCAATGGCTGCAACTGGCCGCGTGGTGGGCTGCCGGCAGTTCGCCAAGGTAGTCTAGCTCGACTCTCTAAGGTGCCTAGGTGGCACGGGAGGCGCTGCAAAACCTCGTCATCTGGCTTCCGGTGCGAGACGACGGCGTGGCCGGGTTAGCCGGGCGCAAAGAATGGGGGGGAATGTTCAAAGACGACGGAGCCTCGGACACGAGAAAGTGGAGGAAACATCAAATGGGAATGGAATCCCTTCTAGTCTTACTTGCCTGCCTGCTGCCCCCAGTAAGGCTTTTGCAAAAGTTTGCCCGCTTACCAGGCCCCTTTTGCCTTTGTGCATGAGTTCTTCGGGCCGCTCCCTTGCGCCAGCACGAACGCCATTTCTGTGCGTTCAACTTGTCAGATGGCAGCGCATGAACCCCTTGACATGAGATGCCAATGCGGCGGAGGATTTTGCTACAGGACGGTCCCAGTTCTTTGAGCCACCCCAGTGCCCCTTTTTCTCTATCGATGAATTTTCCACACCAACGAAAATTTTCTTTTCTATTTTTTGACACGGGCAACACCACCAACAGGCACAACCATGCGTCCAGAATACGCAGCTGAGGGAGACGTGGATTCCAAGCAGCAACCGAATTTTAGTGTGCTAGAGGCTCCGCGTGATGGAAATATCTTAGGCATGCTGCGTTGGAACCGCCCTTGATAGCACTATTAGACGGAGACCGATGACTTCATAACTGGACGCCGTTGCTCCAAGTTCCAACCAACTTGAAAGCTTAGCCATCCCATCGCTGCCGCTGATCCCCCATGACAAGTGGGTATCATCCACCGCCATGTGCTCTGACGTCGCTAAGACTCTCTCCATTACTACATCGGCATTCTCGGCGCGTCCACTGTTTACAACGTCAGTTCGCTGTCACGTCAAGTCTGCCCCGCGCGCCATGCCCGTGATGGCTTCGGCTTTAGGTAGTGGGTTGAACTAAATGCACGTTTCTTTGTCTCTCTAGTCAGCCATCATTTCTCCTACAACATGCGACAAAAACATGATGGTGGATATCAAGAGTAAGAGGGTCTGTGGCTATCAGCCTGTGCCACCAGGCTCTGCTAGTGCCGTCAATCCTGAGATCTAGTTGCCTTGACTGGTGAAATTGTTACAATAATTTCAACTTTATGAAGCACGCGAAGACGAGGCTTCGCGATATGTGGAGAATAAAGAGAATGTATACTAAACGAACGATCTATTACAACCAGAAACCAAACCACTTTTTCAATTTCTACTTCCTAAGAAAAAACGCCATTCCAGACCAAAAGAGCTGCCGAGCCTTGAGTTATCGTGTCTCACCATGCGCATCATTAACACATCCCACTAGTTGGAGTTATCGCTGACGTCGCCATCGTACCCCTTGTCTGTCTCTTCGTTGCATGTGTCAATGATGGCCTGCTCAGCCTCCTGGCACTGCGTCGACATCCCACACAGGATAGCAGCCACGCGGTACTCACAAAGCTCGTCATCACTGCACTCGCCAACCGCGCAACAGGTCCAATCACTCGTAAAATACTTCTCCTTGGGGGGAGACTCTGTTGAGGACTCAGTGGAAGACTCAGCAGGAAAGGTCCGCGGGCGGGCGTTGAATTGAGGGAAGTTACCTGGACGGTCGCTGAGGGTATGGTTCTGGGCATGGCCTGCGTTACAACATTCCTTGCATTGGACGAGGAAGCCGGCGCGCTGCGAAGCCTTACGCGAGACGGCGTGGGAAAGGCATAGCTGGAATGTGTTAGCGCTTGCCACATCGGGGCACTCATCTGGGTAGATCGTCATGAGAGGAAGACCAAGCAGAGTGCCATTTGTGCGGTACCCCATCTCCTTTGCCTTTTCACAGAGGTGATAAAGAGGCTCTGGCGTTGATGTGAGACGCAAGAGTGGAAGACGGATGTCGTTTTTCTCAGAGAGGCAATTCTTTGTGCAACACACAATCAAAATCTCGGTTTCTTGACACATTTTGTTGAAGGAGGAGTTTTGGTAGTGGGGTTGCTAGTGGATCGGATTATGACGATTATCCTAGAAGTATGACGAGCGTGCTTGCTGTGGATGTAGACAATGATACTTGGGAGACGCTGAGAACATGAAACTTGGACACGAGGAAGGCCGAAGTATTCGCTGGATATATACGCGTTGTGAAGCCGAGTTGGGTGCTTTGATTGAGTTTAGTACCACTGGAACGAGATGGTATAGTACAAAGCTGAACATCGAGACAAACAAACCTCAAGGCAACCAAAGCCGACATGATGCAGTCAAAGACTCGACAACAATGCAAGAGAACCTGCCTATAATGCTCAAGGTTCAATGTGCCCTGAAAGGACATTTACAACTCTTGTAATCGGGCCTTAGACCCGAATAAAGAGCAAGACTCAAGAGGAACACAACAAGCTTGCTTGCATTAGGCACTAGAGAAACAGCCAGGCTCAATCAAGATATACCTGGTTTCGGGATAAGGCTGCGCCATACCCGAGAAGTTGTTTGAGAATATCAAGTTAGGCTAAACCAGTTGTTCAGGTATCGTATTACAGCGTATACAGCCAGCCTTCCATGCCCTCATTCCTGCGGTGCCCTGCTTTTGCTGCTTTATTGCAGCGCCACAAGTAGACATCCATAATGATGATCATTGTAATGCTCACCATAGAGATCGCGAAAGTTGTCCAGATGCCGGTCTAGAATTCGAAATAGATGGTCAGAGAACAATGCGTCAAAACAGATTCTGGCAATGCATTAACTTACAGTGTAGTGAGGACTTTCTTTGGACATGAAAGCTGTGCTTGCAATAATGCCACCCAGGCCGCCTCCAATGAGACATGTTGCGCTTGAGACTGCGCGTTTTGAGTGTGAAGTAATGTTGTTTGCTTGGAAGGTAAGCACGCCAGGGACGCAAAACTGAAGAAACCCAATACCTATAGTAAGTAGAAGTAAAGTTAGTCATAGGACCTTGTACAATCACCTACAGCTCATACAAACAAACATACCAAGGAAAGCTCCAAAGTAGCGAGCACCATTAGCTTTGCCGTATACGGTGATCAACATGCCAACAGCAGTTAAAGCTTGATGGACTGCAATGATTGGCCCTCGAATCTTGTACCTGTCTCCAAGATAGCCGGAGATGTAGGCCACGATCGCTGCTAGAACGTAAGGAGGCGCAGAAAGAAGTTGCGCCTGGGTGCTGCTGAAGCCCATGCCATTGCGAAGAATAATTGGGAGAAAGTAGGAGTAAGCGTATCCAGGAAGTGTCGAAGCCATGAGATTGAACGCCCAAAAGTACAGCCTCCAGTCCTTGAGGTGATGCAGAATCTTGGCCAGATTAATGTGGTCCTCCTCGGCATCGCCGCGATCTTGATTGATACGGGCAATGACGAACTCTTGCTCCGCCGGCTTCAGGAACTTGCCGGCCTGTGTCGGAAAGTCGATGATGATGAACCAGCCCAGAGCACACACAACCACGGTAATTGCGCCCTCGATGATGAAGATCCCTGTTATATTTGATGAGCACGATATTGCGATTTCAAAAGACTTGCCAAGATCTCAACTTACAGCTCCAACCGTTCAGTCCACTCTTTCCACGGAGAAGAGTCAGGACATATGCAAAGATTGCAGAGAAACCGCTAGCAAGGACAGAAAGGATCCAAAACCCAGAAAGTCTTTTCCCCACTTCAAAGCGTGTATACCAGCAAGTAATCAAATAGGTGCAACCTGTTGAATTCCAAGGTTAAAATCTGTTTCAACCAAAACCTGGTGTCAAACCCTGACGGACGGTGACCGTACCTGGTAGAAAGCCTGCTTCCAATATTCCCAAAAGAGCTCGACAGACTGCCATAGCACCCCAGCTCTTGGTGAAGCCCATTCCGATCAGGACCACGCCAAAGCCTACACCGAGGAACGAAAGCCAGTTTGCGGGTCCTGCCTTTGGCAGTACGAGATTCTGTTACAGCGGTCAGCTAAAGTCTCCATCACAATTGAAAACACACGAGGGTCGTACACTGGGTATTTCGAAGAGACTAGTGAATTCGTCAGCATTCTTTGATCACTGCTGGGACATCTTGAAGGGACGGACATATATGCAACAAAGAATACCATCACAATGACAGTGTATCTATTTCCCACAGCCAGCCCCAGATCTTCCTGCATGCCCGCAACCAAGGCAAGGCCGAGATTCGTTCGATCGATGAGGGAAATCGAGTACATTATGCCTAGAATCGGAAGTAGACGAATATCGATGCGACGGCTGAGTTCGTAGTTAGCATTTTTTTAGTTAAGTATGATGGACCCGTCAGGTGACTTACATGACTTTCTTCTGCTCGGCCTCGGTGAGTCCACAGATCTGGCCGACATCTCGTCCCTTCACATCCTCCACGTGAGTTGAATCATGAGTCTTTTCGTCAATGGTACGAGTGCCGAACTCTTCATCTCCTTGGTGAAGTTCGCCAGAGGCTCTTCGTTGCTCCATTCTGATTGATATTTTCCTGATGAGTTGAGGTTGTAAGCAGATGAAGCAAGACACCCAAGTTCTGCTACAGCTCAAATCCGAGATCCATTGTACAAGACATGCTGATCATTCTCTTAAGTATTCGCAGGGGTCTTCACCAGGAGTCATCGCCAAGACAGACATATCCATCAGAATGCGATGGTGACCTGTTTCCATCAACCACCATGGGCCTAATCCAGGCCGAAGCAAGCCTCAAAGCAAGCCTCCATTTCGCTTGACACCTAGCAGCTCCGAGAGAAAGGTTGGATGCGGGGTAATCCGGGGTATTGCGGGGGACGTGGTCGCTTCCTGCACAACTAGCATCAAATCCGGACTCCCAGAACGTGCCTTGCGAGATGCAAAGTCTCATAAGCAGTCTGATGATTCGCTGAACACCAATCATGAGAGTGGAGGGGGAGCGACGCCACTGAGTCAGGGCGCTAGAGTCAGAGTCGCAGACTCTCGGACCATGTGTCAGTAGCTCAACCTCCGCTCATCAACCGCACCTTAGCAACCGCTAGCTCAACGCCAGCCAAGAGTTGGTTATCCCTTTACTCGGGAGAAGAGACCCGGCATTCTGGCTCGCGAATGATGATGGCTTCAATACAGAAATCTAGCCCTTGGGCTGGTATGATTACGTGGTTAGTATGGGGTGCTGCATCGCAACCATTTGCTCTCGCAGCTGAGCACCACACCAACACTTTCCGAAAGTGCATGGGAGACTTGGGAGACTCCGGCTCGAATGGAAAACTGGGCAGCTCGCTTGGCATAGATGGTAAGATCCCTGCAGTGTTACCCAGCTCCACGAGGCAACTCATTCGCACTTCCCCTCGCATGCACTTGCGTTGATGAAATCTACGGGGCAATGAGTGTGGGAAATGGTTTATAAAGGTAGTAAGATGATGGCTGTTTGTCTCGAGAGGAGTCGGAATGAGAACCTTCCCCAGTTGATATCCACTCTTGACCATTAGTGTTTCTATTCATCATGACAGTCTGGCTTTTGTTGATGACATGGATCTTAGGTCAAAGGGTTCTGGGTCTGCCTTCCAAAGGCTGTGTTGATCCTCAACCGCTGACTTGCGACAAACTCGAGATACCGCCAATTGACGGCTTTAATGTCATAGTCACCGAGAGCAACGAGGTCCGCGACTATGTTTTACCTACTGACCCAACGTCGAAATTCGACTTTTGCAACTTTACTCTAGCACTCAATCACCATGGCGCAGACGACGTTGTGTTTGTGAGCATTTGGCTACCCTCTGAAGATACCTGGAACGGACGCTTTCTCGCCACTGGTGGTGGCGGTCTTGCTGCGGGCACCTTTGCCTCAGCCCTTGCTGGTCCCGTCTCCAAGGGATTTGCTGCTGGCTCGACGGATGCCGGGCTAACGCTGAATCACACGATTGACGCAAACTCTGGTCAATGGGCTCTCAGAGCCAACGGCAGTATCAACGAGCCATTGATCGAAAACTTTGCCACGCGGTCCATCCATGAGATGGCACTTATCGGCAAAGAGGCAGTCAAGGCATTCTACGGTACCAAACCCCACTACTCTTACTACAGCGGCTGCTCCCAGGGTGGACGACAGGGCTACTTCGCTGCTCAATACGATCCGTATGACTTCGATGGAGTCCTGGCCAATGCCCCAGCCATCAACACACCTCAATTATCCCCTGCGGACTTTTGGCCATCGGTGGTCATGGGCAACATTGCCGCACCACCACAGTGCGTTTTCCTGGAGTACCAAAAGGCAATCATTGCGGAGTGCGATCCACAGGATGGCGCAAAAGATGGCCTCATCTCAGCGCCCGAGAAGTGTCAGTTTGATACCAGCCAACTCATTGGGCAGAGCATCAACTGTACTGATACTGGTGGACCTGTCGTGATAACGGAGGACTTTGCCGAAGTCATTGCGAAAACACTTGAAGGCTCAAGGACCACAACAGGCAACTTCTTGTGGTATGGAAATCCACCAGGCGCGCCCTTTACCGGCCTCGCCAACACGAAGACGGTTGATGGTGTCACCGTGCCGGTGCCATTCGCCGCGGCTGAAGCATGGATGCGATATTTCGTAGCACAGGACCCGGATCTCGACACCGCATCTCTCACGTTCGCAGAGTTTGAGGATATCTTCAACGAGTCTGTGGCAAAGTACACGAAGCCTTTTGGATCCGATGATTTCGATCTCACGGAGTTCAAGCAAGCGGGCGGGAAGCTGTTGACTTGGCATGGCATGGGTGATCCGCTCATCACCCATCTCGGGACGACACTCTTCTGGGACAGACTTGAAGAGAGGGTGGGTGGCGTGGAATCTCTGAAGAGCTTCTATCGGCTGTTCTTGGCGCCGGGGGCGGGACATTGCGGTGGTGGGTACGGCCCCGTTCCCGTTGAGCCGCTCTCTGTTCTCATCGACTGGGTCGAAACTGGCAAGGCCCCAGATACTTTGTTTGCTGTGACGACGCAGGATGGTATTAACACGACTCGGAACCTGTGTCCTTACCCCCAGTCTATCAAGTACAAAGGAAGCGGAGACGTGAAGGATGCCATGAGCTTCACATGCGAGTGAAAGGTGAGGACTCATGGTGAGCGAGGGGCGGCAAATCTCGACTATGGGTACAGTTCCCGCATGTCTGTGGTAGACTGTTCTTGTGTACTAAGTAATTCACATCGGCTAACGGGAACACCGAAATCTACTTATGTGCCTGAAGGATTTGAGAGTAGAAAGTCACCTGCTGGCCAGTTTTGTACTGTTGCCAGGCTCAGCATGTCCATGTCAGAATTCCTCCTACTTCGCGGAGAGCTTCCAGCCTCTAGTTCTTTGACCCTTCCACTTTGTCGTAGCCTGCTCTCTCGAGCATCTTTCCAAGTTAAAAGTCTGGGCACTTCTTGATATGCTGGGATGTCGGCATACATCTCCGGGAAGTGGTTGAAAAAGTCTGACGACATGGTCCAGGAGTTGATGTCACGGATCCTGTCTTCGAACTCTGGGGCCACACAGTATCGTCTTGTCTCGATGTTTCGCCGGTAGCAATCGCGGAACTCAAAAGGCCACATGATTCGGAAGCTGCTTGCGAATACCTCCCAGAACAGGTTCGAACAGTATTGATGTTGTGAAAACACAAAGCGCTCTCGAACACCTGGCCTATTTTAGGAAGCGGGGAAAAGGTAAGTAACTTTTTATCGATGGAAATTCAATCATTGACAGAAGCAGGACTTACCAGACGAAGAAGTCTATTGCAGAAGAGTGAGGTAGTGATTGAGATGGTCTTTAGATATTTGTCAGAGCATTTTTCACAAGAACAATCGGCCGAATCCACCTGCTTACCTGCTGAGATACCATGCTGGTAACTTGGCGCATTGTTCGACTGTGGGCTCGGCTTGGTATCGGAGGAGGCGGTGCATGAGTCTCAGGATAGCAAGCCGTTCGGTATCCGGGCAGTTTCTGAACTGGAGCGTATCGGTCTGACGGAGTCTTCTCCACAAGGGCGGTAGTTTCCCTGATCTTTCGACGGCATCCCATCCTTCTAAGATGACGCGGACCGGAATGTCGTCGCTCATCTCGTCCTCCATAGCCAGAACACTCCTGGATAGCATTTCGCTGGCGCCAAGAGCTTCGTTTGCGGATCTCCATAAACTTGTTGTCGATAAACCCGGGCTTTGAGGATCTTGTCTTGATCCTAAACACTCACAGGCACTATCTGGCTCCGGCACGATCACACCATCGCCTTGATGTCGAGGCGGAGGGGAGTCGGGTAGACATTCCAGATTAGGGTTCCCTGCCAGGGCGAGGCTAGGTGGAGCGGGAACTCTGTTGGCCAGTTCCGTCTCTGTCGCAAGAGTATGACCGGTTACGTCAGATACTGGGAGTCCCCAACTTATGGCGGAGATGCCAGGGGTGAAGACGTCTAAGGGCATATCTTCGACCTCAATGTCAAAAGCGTTTGAACTCTCATGAGCGCCCGGCCACGGCTGACAGTTAGAAGCCGTAGCCTCAGGTTGTGATGCTCGGTCCTGCAAAGTATCGGCACGTTCGCCTTCTCGGTGGACTTGAATGGTTGTCTCAAGTGAGGAGAGTGTTTTCGACAGGGTGTCTCTTTGTCTCGTCATGTCAGACAGCTGGTTCATCAAGCTGGCGATCTTTGCGCTCTGCTCTTGCTCGCTCATAGCCTGGATAGTCGCTTCTAGGTAGGCAATGCGATTCTTGTTCCGTTCTCGGGCAGCTCGCTGTGCACGTCGGTCCAATTCCCTCTTCTTCGCGCGACGAGACGCGGCGTCGTCGGCCGCAGGAATGGGTGTCGCCGAGCTTATCTGTTGCGTTGCCATCGCTACTTGCTGCCACGGTGGCTGGAGGTGCTGTTCACGATGCGTCTGTTGCAATATTGCAATGGTTACAATGGGACGAAGGTGGTTGGACGACGCAGAAGCAGCCTTGGACCCAATTTGGGGGCCATCCGGATTGCGGGGAACCGGGCTTACGGGGCCACCCTGAATCCGGGGGAGCAACAGCAGAATGCGGGGGACCCCGGCAAGCATGTAGTCTTTGTTAGTCATCACACACATTGTGAGAGTTGTTTTGAGCACGAGAAGGGCTATCAACAAGCTAGTGTTGTGGAATTGGCCGATCTGTATCTACGAGATGGCCTTTCTCTTGGCGCAGGGCTTGAACCCAACATCAGTCGACACTAGTGTCAATGGTGTCAATCAAATGGGTTAGAGCATTTGAACAGGAAAGCAGAGGCTGGAAACACTCTGCAGATTTATGTTCCTTGGCTCAGACCAGGGCCAGGAACAACGGCGTCAACGGCAACACCATGATTCGCAAGAGACTTCCTGAGGGAAAAGTCGGAGGCCGGAGGGTTTTTCGTCGACACCAAAAAGCACCTTACGTTACGTGTCGGATTATGCCAGAGCATTTCTTACAGGGCATACCCCAAATGACCTTTCGTGGTTGATGGTGAGACTTTTGCCTCTTCAGCTCCAGGCGGAAGGTGTCTTAGGTATGCCCATGAACCCGATCTCAAGGATGCTTGCGTGTAATTTGACTTCAGATGTTCGGACGTCTGTGAGCCTGTCAGTGTCACTGCAGAGGTGAAACCAAAATCCAAGCATATGGTGTTCGCCCGCATTTATTTTAAGCTTCAGGGCCGCGAGTGATCGCGCAGATAAGAACTCTATTGTGATGCATTTACAATCTTGATTAGCAGTTGTTCATTCCTCTTTTTTCAGAGCTTCGTCACCCCCCCCCCCCCCCCACAACATTAGAGCAATCCTTCACAGGGAAAGAGGCAACATCTTTGAGTGTTTAAGAAACAAAGGAGTTCCTTATAATAGGTGTTTTCATTGTTCTACTCGGGTAATATCCTGGATAACGAGAACGAGCCGCCTGTTGCCAGAGCGGATCCTCGTGGAGGCAACAGATGGAGAATTGGGGTTTCGCACCGGGTTTCATCAACACCGGCATCGCAGGCCTGATGGAGTGTTGGCTGTGGCAGGACCAGGGCGTTGCAAGTGTTCACACTGGCGACAGATGCACGGTCATCGCTGTATTGAGCCAGAAAACAAAGCCGCCCCTTTTGTCTATCCAGCCTCTCTTAGTCTGAGGGTAATTCTGTCTGAATAATTTGATGCTGTAATTCTTGCGAGTAAGAGTTTCCCGACAACGTCGTGTTTTCTCGTCCTCATAACGATAAACTGTTTTACGTATTGAGCGGCGAGTTACACACACCTCCTGGCCATAACTCGAGGCTGACATATGGCACTGGAAAGCAATCGGCTTGATCCAGATTTGACTTGTGGAATCGGAAAAGGACCATGACGAGGGTCCGCAGCCAGCTACTCACATGTCCTCAAATAGGACATCTGCCGAGGACTGGAACATGTAAGTCGCAGCATCGAACCTTTTTTGAACTTCTGGCCAGGAGAATCCGGGAGCCATCTCTCAATTATCATCCAAGCTGGGCCACTGGCCCTAGATGTCTTCCTGGACTTACTGCTGTCTAATGCCTTCAGAATACGATTGGCAGAGTTTTAAGTTTCGGGCGACTATGCTACAGTGCTGTAAATTGAGTACAACGCAGAAACATACTTTGAGACAATAGGATCGCCCAAAGTTGTCTTTCTTCCCTTAGCTCTCATCTTCTTGAACAGAAACAAGAGCTTCCAAGTGGAATCATAGTTTCCGAGGTACCAAAAAGATAGGGAACATAAAGCAAATCGATGACATCGAAGCACTAAGACATTATGTCAAACGGTGAATGTTTCTTGGTTATTCGCTGATGGCTATGTTCGATGCATGGTGAGTTTTTAATTCAACTAGTACTGAGTCTGAATTGTATGGTGACTTGAACTTCCACGTTGTCATGGAGATTCGTTAGTTGTCGCTGCTGTATACATATTTTGCTACAGGCTACCAGATGTACAAGCGAGCCCGGCCGAAAAGTAGGAAGTTGTTGGACCCACGAGAGTGGAAACTAATCATGCGATAGATCCGGGGTCTAGTTGCAGTTCTATGGTTGAAATCTCTCATCTGTGCACTTCTTGGCGCCTGATGTTGGGTGTCTCTTGGCTGTTGGTCGTAATGATAAACGGCTCTTACTGCGCATCTGATGTCCCCATTACCACCCTCCTGGTAATACTTGCAGTTGTGGTGATAATTGTGTTTGTGTAAGAAATCACGAAATCTTCAACGAATAGTGACTGTAGGGGTTGTGATTTTTTGTCATCAATCCCATCGTGGCTGTGGCAACTCTCGACAGCGTGCGTCTGAAGATCAGCAAGGATTATGGCTACGAGCAACTCGCGAACATGGACAAGGTCAATCTCCCTGCGCATCGCAAACATTCAACGGTGATCTGCCGCTTGGTCCAAGTGCCATCATTGCTACGGGGAAGCAATACTGTTGTTACCGCATTCTGCCTCAAATCACGGAGGGGCAATCAAGAATGACACATGGCTTTATAAGTAAGGTACATTGAGCCACCTGAGTGTAGGCGAGGTGTTTCACGGGCTTTTGGTAGGGGCCGATTACTCACCTCTCCCTTGTCAACGTCACTCTACATCTACACTGAGTCGCTCAAAATTGAGGAAGAAGAATGACGAGAACATGTTCGCAGATGTCAAGCATCAGGTTGGTCGAGGGTGCTACATGTGTGACGGCCGACGAGGGTAATGTCTAGTTGCCTTGGCGTCAATTCACACCGGATCAGTGGAAGTCGCCGCCTGTCTATCGTTCATCATTCAAAAACCTTGAAGTGGGAATTGGAGACTGGAGGTTGCATGGAAACTCACACTGACAGACTGATCTTTCAGATGACCGAAGCGGATGAATCAGTCCATCTCGCCCACGAACCTGACTCCAGAGTATTCCGGCTGCGCAGAGTTCCTGTTCCAGGCATGTGGCCCCATGGCCCCCCAAGTCTGAGACGATCTGTGACCTAGGAGGGCTTGATAGTGCGTTAAGATGAGTTCACTAAAACTACGCGCAAATTTGTTAGCGTAGTATAGACACCCGAAAGAAACAAACTGAAACGGGTTTGCCGACTTTTAAATAGTCGTCCGATAGCATTTGAGTTTTCCTCCCAGGTTCACTGCTGTGCAATGTCAACCCCTCTTGGCACACATCTGCGACTTGGTGTGACAGCACACTCAGCCACTTGTGAGGACCACAATTTGCTCTCAGCGAAGAAGGCATTCCGGATAGAGATGGCCCCGTAACTGAAACGGTTCTTCCTCGAGCAATTCTCCTCCACCAGTCCGAATCTGTCACTAGTGCTGCTACTGCACGGTCAATGATGGCAATCCATCTTCTTCTCAGCAAGACGAGATCCCCGCTATCCTTGCGATGGTGTGGTTCTCGTGTCTTGCTTGCCCGCTGCGCACGGGATAACCCTGCCGACAACAGCGGCGGACACTTTCCTCCCCTACACCTAGTCAACATCTCTAGTGTGTCAACATCACGGGCAGTCGACAACCCCCCCCGCACGACTGGTTTGAGAACATGGCACATTTCTACTAGACTGGAGAACTTCACTAAGACTAGTTAGTACCCGAGCGCAAATCCCCGCGGGCCGCCGCAACGTTGACATGAATAAGCTTGTCTGCGAGCCTTGTTCACCTTGTCCGTGTGCTTTCCCAAGGGTACTGCCTTGGCGATCGCCTCCGAGCTCCCGCTATGCAGGCCATACATGAGTCCGGATCGTCTCGACTCAGAGTCTAATTTTGGACCTGTAGGCTTGTTGTAGCCTGTCACAGCGCCGTTTCTATCACCTGTCCTCAAGCGAGAGACTTTCGAGCGTGGCATCGAACTATTCTGTGGCGAGCTGCCCTCTCCTCGCTCGCACATCTCAACCTTGCCCCCTGAGCCTAGATCTTACACTCGGTCCAACTGGGTCGGTCATTCTGGAACCCACGATTTTTTTTGTTCAGCGCACTTCTCAAACAGGCCCCTGCACTTGACTTAGTAGTGTCTGGTTGTGTCTGGGTCGTATAACCATCACGGTGGCAGTTGTCCGGAGAAGAGCAGATTCAACCGACTAAGCCCAGTGGAGCATCACGCACCCACACCCCGTCGGCGAACGACTTTATATCTAAACCGAGACTTTCGTCTCTTCTCTGTCGGTCCGGATCTTCTGCTCCCCAACCTACTCGTTCGCCTCCTCTTCTTTTCATCTCATTCTTTTTCTCTTTATAGTCTGCTGTGTGGACTTCCTTTCCTTTTCCTTTTCTGTTGGGCTTGACGCCACAGAAGTTTCCACTTTACGACAATTACCTAGTCTCTATGTTTGTTTAGCAAACCACGTCTCGATGACTTTCACTCTCTCGTGGCGCCAAGCCGCCTTGGCAGCGTTGCTGTTCAACGCCGCCGTAACGGCCAACTACGATACCCGACGAAATAATGAAGCCTCGGAAGATACAAAGCGGGCTTTGAATGTTGCCTCCGTAAAGGCTCGAGGCCTGAATGTCAGAAACTTTGTACAGAAGTTGGACGTCGATAGTGTATTGTCTGCTCTTGGCAGTAATAATAAGGCACAGGGTTCGTCATGCACATCACATATTGGTATCAAATGCATAAACTGACTCTATCTAGGCGATGGGACTCCGGATGTAGCTCCTCTTGCTGCTGATGGGGCTGTTCCTGCTGTCCCTCAAGCCCAACCGGCAGCACCACCGGCACCGGCTGCGGGAGAGGCACCTCCTCCTCCTCCCCCGGCAAATGGAGCAGCACCTCCTCCTCCTCCTGTGAACGGTGCACCTCCGCCGCCTCCAGATCCAAACGCTGCTCCTCCCCCTCCTCCGCCTAACGGTGCTCCTCCACCACCGCCTGACCCAAACGCGGCTCCTCCGCCTCCGCCTCCCGCGAATGGCGCTCCTCCACCTCCTCCTCCGGCTAACGGTGCTCCCCCGCCACCACCACCTAACGGAGCACCGCCGCCGCCGCCTCCCGATCCAAATGCTGCTCCTCCAGACCCGAACGCGCCTCCTCCACCACCTCCTGATGAAGCGCCGCCGCCGCCTGATCCAAACGCAGAGCCACCACCACCTCCTCCAGAGGGAGGGCCGGCTCCTGACCCGAATGCCCCTCCCCCGCCACCCCCTGATGGAGGTCCAGCTCCCGATCCCAATGCTCCTCCACCACCACCTCCAGACGGCGAGGCACCTCCCCCTCCTCCTGATGATGGGCCTCCACCACCACCCCCCGATGGCGGACCGGCTCCCGACCCCAACACTCCTCCACCGCCGCCTGATGCCGAGGGGGCACCACCACCGCCGCCGGAGGCTGCTCCCGCTGTAGCTGGTGAGCCTCTTGCGCCATTGGCCGTAGGGGCTCCTCCTCAACCTGCTGCAGCTCAACCTCCTCCTCCTCCCGCTCTCGCAGGAAATGGAACTGACCCTGCCGGCAAGAAAGGAAAGAAGGGCAAGGGTAAGGATGACGCCGGCAAGAAAGCAAGGGACGACGCAAAGAAGGCAAGAGATGAAGCCAAGAAGAAGGCTGAGGGACAACTAGCAGGTGCTGCTGGCCCCGGCCAGGCCGCCGCCAACGGAACAGCACCTGCGCCTCCGGGCAAGAAGGGAAAGAAAGGCAAGGACGCCAAGGGCAAAGACGCAAAGAAGCTGAAGGATGGAAAGGGCAAGGGGGCGATTCCCGGCGCCGCAGGTAACGGCACCGAAGCCGTTGGACCAGATGGAAAAGCCAAGAAGGCCAAGAAGGACAAGAAGGCTAAGGGCAAAGCCGCACTTCTTCCAGGAGCGGCCGTGAACGGCACGGCGCCAGCAGGTCCAGATGGCAAAGCCAAGGGCAAAGGCAAAGACGATGACCCCGAGGCGAAGAAGAAGGCCAAGGACAACGGTCCTGAGGGCGCCGCTGGGCCTGCTGAGGAAGCTGCAGGTGGACCTGAAGGCAAAGGCAAAGGAAAAGGTGACGACCCCGAGGCTAAGAAGGCAAAGGAAGCGGCTGCTGGGGGAGAGGGAGCAGCAGCCGCAGGGAAATCGGCGGGAGCGGCATTTGAAAGACGTCGACGAGCGAGCTTCGTGAAGCGGCGAAACCTCATGTCCAATTTCGGCTGGTGATCTCAGATCAAATTCTTGTGCTGCTGGCCCATCGTACTCTCACTCACTTATGGGTATTAATGGGCGACATTCTGCATACAATGTTTTCATTATACTATCTCACTCGTTTCTATACATTCAAAAACTCCAATCACTGTCTGGGACAGAATATTCACAAAGTAGTTTTTGTGCGGAAGGCGAGGACCGATTCTGTGGTATAATACTGTGGGAACTCGTCTCGCGATAGTTGAGATTAAATTCAAGAAAAAAATAAAAAAACGACAAAATAATACTATCAAGGACTCGGCCGGTGCAAGTATGCGCATTTCCGACGCGGGATATATGTCTACTTGTGATTTGACGGATGACGTTTTAGACTTTTCCGTCTGATCAGGTACGCATGAAACCGTACTATTTCAGGAACAACAGGAACAACCCCGCAAGGGCAGCACACGCCCCGTTCTTGGGCTGAAGTTTGTCTTCTTCGCATATGACTCGACATGTTCTGTATTCGGAAATTCACACAACCATTCCCCCTTACTGTCGCGAACGATCGAGTGTCAACGGCCGTCAGTGTATCGCATCCTACATGAACGACAGCTCCCCAAGGTAGTCATCGCCGACAACTTTCCGTTCAACTAAGGGTTCGGCAGGAGTATACCACACAATGCTACCTGGTCAAGACGTGCGTTCTTGAAATCTACACTAGATATGCAACTACCGATCCGACTGAATCATCTACTCTTCAATACATCACAGTGCTAAAACGTACCGGCTATGCCCCTCCAGAAGTAAGATTCTCAAGCTTGCTTAAAAGATCGCCAGGAGAGTCTCGAGAACTCGGCGGCACATTTGGCCATGCCGGTCATAGTGTGTGTGTGTGTGTGTGTGTGGTTGGAATGGATGTCACACTCGCCCCAGCTGTCTCAGTCCAATTAATGAAGTGGTGGGCTGCCCATTGGGCTGGGACTGCCGATACTAGAAAGTTTACTCCGTGAAATCCAAATCTTTTGTTCCTGTGCCTTTTTCTGCAGAACAGTTTCATAAGAAGCTAGGATGCGCCAACAAAACATCCGGGACCGAGAAGGGGCGACAATGTGCTTCTGGCGTTTGGCACTCAGCGAGGTTTGAACACCTACCTCAGGTACATAAGATTGTGAGGAGCAGTATTATTAACAAGCAACAGCCTCTGTGGCAATACAGTCATTCATCTCCCACATTATGGACCCTTTTGTACAATACGACACCGAAGCTCTAGTTCCTCTGTGTTGTTATTGGCATGGTCGAATGACTAAAAAGTCGACATCAAAAGTTAAATGCGCATATCTTGAGTTCGAGCAAAATGAGAGACTATCGCTGCGTTCGATGGCCTTGCAGGCTCACCAAACGTTGAGCGCTAGGTTTCAATCCATCGATTTGAGAAAGGAGAGCCCTCATATCAGAGACTTCCAATCATGATTTAGTATTTGTCGTTGTTGGTCAAAGAATCTACAGCTCTCAAAATCATTCTATCCACTTGAAGTGAATGGATTCAACACGTTTTTAATTAGTTTCGGAATGTCCACAGTTGGTGGTTTTGATCAATAAAAAAGAAGGAACGATTTGGGCCAACATGGAGGAAGTCAAGATTTGTGAATCGGGCAGCCCATTGCGTTTGCATATTTAAGCGAGAGAACTTACTGACCGTTGTAGAGGAGGAAATATATTGTCATGACTCAAGCCCGAATTAAGGTACGATGATTTGAGGATAGAAGGTTTTCTTGCTCGCCGCTTCAGAAATATGTTTGCACAAGGCTTCCGACCTGGAACTCGTCATTATACTTGGATCGCCTTTAAAACCAAAGAAACCATTGAATTCAGGTTCGTTCTACTTACAGTCCTCGGCCACCCTTCTGTTGATAGTGTTGAGAAGCCAGACGCCAATGGGAGCACCTAGTTGCCTTGCGTATCGAATTGGGGCGAGTCCGGAATAGCTGGACGGAAGCGCGCCCGAAATTCCGGCCCGCCCCGCCGTTTTGTGGAGAGACCGGCCGGGAGATGACGGTTTTCCTACAACGTAGAGTGACATAATCTAAAATTGACTCTCCGGAGTTTAGCCATTGTCCTCTTCCGGAACAACAACCAACCCAACTGCATAGGCGGGGCCGTTGATTAACCGTCCCTCGCCTTGGAGCCCGGTCTCCATAAAGGCTCTCTCGCCTCATCCTATGGCCTACCTTGTTCCATCTGAGGAGTCTTGGAATATCCGTCTCGACTTAACTATTGTAAGCTTCATGATGGCCACAGTCACTCAACAGCAGCACACGTCGTCAGACTCTTACGAACTTGCCGAAGCACCGAAGCAACCCCGCAGTGGACACATTTTAGGATCCGTTGACCCTACAGACACTGATCAGAGCGATAAAATTGACAATGCCACACTCTTAAAGCTAATAGCCTCAGGCTTCGCCTTCTTCATCTCTGGAGTCAATGATGGTAGTGTCGGTCCTCTCCTTCCCTACATGATCCGCGACTATAGCATCACCACAGCAGTCGTTTCTATTATGTGCGTAGCGAAAGCCATAATCTTATAACTTAGCTTCAAAACTAATCCCTGATTCAAGCTACGGAGCAAATTTTCTCGGTTGGTTCCTCGCTGCCCTTACCAACACTCATCTCCGACAAAAGTTTGACCTCGGCGGACTGCTCGCTTTCGGCGCCTTCTTCCAAGTCTTGGCCCATGCGCTCCGGGCATGGCGACCTCCGTTCCCATTCTTTGCCGTCACGTTTTGGCTCGTATGCCTCGGACAGGCATACCAAGATGCAGGTGCAAATGCGTATGTAGCCAGCGCCAAGGCCGCACATCGATGGCTGGCCTTTATCCATGCATTGTACATGGCAGGATGTCTAGTTGCCCCATTTGTCGCGACTCCAATTGCATCGGCTGGGAAGACCTCTCGATGGTATCTCTTCTACATTTTCCCGCTCGCCATTGGTGTTCTCAACTTTGCCCTGACCTGCTACGCCTTCCGAGACACTATCAAATTTGGACGTAAAAAGAACAGGGCGACTGAGCCAGAAGCAGGGACTGACGAAGAGGAGAAGAAGAGCGCATCCCAACTAATGAAGACTGCTTTACGATCCAAATCTCTTTGGATGGTCAGTATCTTCTTTTTCTTCCTACTTGGGGCGACTATTACAGCAAGTGGATGGATTGTCGAATATCTTGTTGAGATTCGTGGTGGTAATCTCGGCGCCATGGGTTATGTCCCGGCGGGCTTTAATGGAGGAGCCATGCTTGGTCGCCTTCTTTTGGCTGAACCTACCTATCGCCTAGGTGAAAGGAGAATGATCTTGCTTTATGTGGTGCTCTGCATCGCCTTTCAGTTGGTGTTCTGGTTGTGAGTATGAAAGCCGTCAAGCTCATGACTACTGGAGTCTAATGCGTCTGAAACAGGGTGCCAAATATCATCGCTGCTTCAGTGGCCATCAGTTTCTTTGGATTCTTCTCTGGTCCTCTGTTCGCCACGGTAAGTTGTGCAACTACTGATGCAGGACCCAGATGTCTGACTATCCCTAGGGTATATCTGTTGGATCCAAACTCTTCTCACCAGAGGTGCAACCAACAGCCCTCTCATTCGTGTTTGTGATCGGGCAGATTGGTGGATCTTTGTTTCCCGTCATTACGGGAGTAATCGCATCTCGCATAGGCGTCAGTGTGCTGCAGCCTATTCTGATAGCCCTGATTGCAGGTACAGGTATCAGTTGGATGCTGATACCGAAGCCTAAAGAATCGTCAAACACCGCCTTGCATCAGGAGTAGGGATTGAGACAGCCAGTACACATGTGAACATCAAGAGGCTCGAAGAGGTATCCAATCGAAGCTCTTGCTCAAAGATGAGACAGCAATTCATGAAGCAATAAAAAAATTTGATTCACGGATAAGGATTGCGCATCAAGGAAAGACATTTAGGTGTTGATTGGCGTGACAAGACGCGGTGAGCCAATATCACCAAAATGCCACGAGGGGATGCAGTTTTGTGGGTTTCAAAATGGTGCAATCCCCCCTTGTACCCCCTGCCTTGAGTCCAAAGGTCTTTGAACGTTTCTTAGAGGCATCAGTAGAACAACTGAGCCAAGGATACCAGAGTCTCATTGTGACAGTCGAGAATCCTTCGCGTGTCTTTGCACTCGATGTGGAGACATATTAAGCACGCCATGATAACTCAGATCGCGACACACTGAGCCACCGCTATCGGGGAAACAGTACCAGGATGTGGAAGATATTTCAACTTTACCTTCATGACTTTGAAAGTGCGTAGTCTTCAGATTGTGTTCCGAGTCTGGGCTGTCGTTCAACCTGGCGATCTCAGAGGAGCTTTCTGAAGCCAGCTTTTACCTATCTCGCGATTGCTATCTACAGTCTGTTGACAGAACATTGTTCGCCTGCGACCCAAGACAGTCCGTGCAACATGGCTTCCCTAAAGTCTCAACCAATTGAGGCACACTCGGCAATTGGCGAGGATGCAGTACCGGAGTTTGAAGCTTCTGGCATCGGCAAACGGACATGGTACCGAACTGTCTTTTTTCAGGCCACTGTTATTGGCCTTTGCGCATTCTTCGCCCCGGGCCTTTACAATGCCATGCAATCGACGGGTGCAGGTGGTCAACAGACTCCATACCTCGTTATGTAAGTCTCTGTTCAAACTTTGAAGTATTCCCATTCGCCGAACCCCTTCAACTGATTGACCTTAAAGGTCCGCGAATGCCGTTTTAGGAGTTATGATGGTTGTAACATGTTCCATGGGAAGTGTGGTCGCCAACAGGATTGGCCTCAAAAATGCCTTGATCTTTGGCACGACGGGATAGTAAGTCACCTCCAGCCTTCAGTTTGAGATGAGTGGAATTTTCCAAGTACGTGGGTTAATCCAATCCAGTGCTCTGTACTCAGCGTCGCTGTACACAAACAACCGTTACGGCAATGAGTGGTTCGTCTACGTTGGTTCTGCTGCTTGTGGTATCACTGCTGGTGTTTTCTGGGC